GTTACCGTAAGATTATGTAAAAATTCTGCTGAAGTTTGTAAGTATCGTATTTTTTAATAAAAACGTAGATTTTATAAAAAATACTAGTAGTTCTTATCATGTCTGTTCACTAGAACGTAACGTTAACGTTTAGTAGTTACAAACGTGTTGCAGTCGATACAAACTCAGAATAATAAGACAGTGCACAGGTAGAGACGCGTTTTTATTCGGTAGAAAATTACTTAGTATGAGTTGTCTGTGAAAATCATGAAAGAACACAAAGGATAACGCCGCATAATGACGGCCGAGTATGAACTACCAAGCGCGGCTCTTTATGCATGCAGTGACCCGGTCCGCCAGGCCGCTCATAACTAAACCAAGATCTAACTTGTGGCTCAAAGCAGACAGCTTCGTTTCTTTTGGCAGTCGAATGTTTTTATATAGGAAGTTGTCAGCTTATTTCTGGCGTTTTTGGTGATTTGTGTGGCTGCATATCTCTGGTTGTGTGTTGCAACTTGACAACATTTTGCCGATACGAAGTGTGATAAACAATGGAAACGGCTTGTGTTTTCAGAAAATTATTATTCTTTGCATTTGGCAGGTTTCTACCCAAAACTTTTTGCAAACAACTGACATCAAACGCTCAGTAAAACTCTCTTTTCCAGTGTCTTTTCCCTTCCCAAAAATTATGAAAGTGAAGCTCTCAGTTTACGTAATGACCAGTGAGCCTGATTGGTCGAGCGGCGGAGTAGCTTTTAAAAATAATGTGCACACCCCCACTGGGGCCTGGCTGGAGCGTGAAAAAAATGCACAATTTGGCGGTCAATTTGGCGGCCAAAATGTGGCCATAGTGACAAGACGAAAGAAAATTATAAAAATAGACCCAAAAGACTACCATATCAGATAGAGTTCGTAATATTTCTAAATATGCCTCAGCTATCCTTCTGGACCACCTTAAGTTGAAAATGCTGTAATACAACATAACGTCATTTCATGCCTATCTTTCCAAACGAAGGCCGTCAATGCCGTTGACTTTAAGGCTTACCATTGACATACTTCTTACTTTACTCTTGACATATTAATTATGTGGGGTCGTGTGGCGTAGCGGCAGAGTGCGCGACTCGGAACTTAGAGTCCCGGGTTCGAGTCCTGACATGCCACCGATCTTGTGCCCTTGGGAAAGGCACTTTACACGGCTTTCCTCACTTAGCTCAGGTGAAAATGAGTCATGTATTTGTCCCCTGTGTTGGTGGCGGCATTAAGATAAGTTGAAAAAACTTGAGTGTGTCGTCACCACGTCTGGTGATTACATGTTGGAATTAAAAAAAAACATATCAATTATTCTGATTGAAGACATGACAGCCTTGTCCTCAGCACCCGATGGATGAAAATTATTCTCTACGACTACATTTTTTGCCAGTCGCCTCATTTAACAAACAAATTTGTTCTGGAACTTCAAGACGACAGCGCGCTTTGGCGCTATCCTATATAGCAACATTAAGATTTGTACGTGTACAGCGCTTATAACACATGTACACACATATAAACACACGGTACCGGTACTGTCTCGCCGTCCTTGTCGCAGCACAGCGTCCAAACCGCTGCCAGCACAGTCAGCCAGGCCCCGGTGCGCCCGCACACAGACCCCGTTATCCTCCTCATCCCACCGTGCCCTCTCCGGCCGCTTCCTCGGTCTCCGAACGCACCCGGCCCCGCCGACTCCAAACACACGGCCCGCTAACCGGCCGGCTGGATCCCACCGGGCCCTCTCCAGCTGCTCCCTCGGTCTCCGCACGCATCCGGCCCCGCCGACTCCAAACACACGGCCCGCTAACCGGCCCGCTGGATCCCACCGGGCCCTCTCCAGCTGCTCCCTCGGTCTCCGCACGCATCAAGCCCCGCCGACTCCATACACACGGCCCGTTAACCGGCCGGCTGGCAGGACTCCAAACCGCAGATTTCGCGTGGGGCTGCCGAATCAAATCTGCGTTCTTGTAAAAAAAGGCGCGAGTTTTCCTCAGAAGCTACAAAAGTGTCGTCTGCAAACCGTTCACCCTGCCCAGACGGTGACAAAAAATCAGGTGAGAGGGTTCACCTCAACAGGAAAACACTCCGTGAGAATATGTCCCCACGTATTATTAATATAAGGAGCGAGTTTCCACCAGATAGAAGCTACGAAAGTGTCGTCTGCAAACTGAGACTTAAATGTTTCACCCAGCCGCCCTGCCAAAGTCTTGTCGTGGCTCAAGTTTTCCTAAGACACATCCTAAAGCCGGATCGCTGCCAACACGATCGCGATTTCTCAACTCGCCGCAGTAGAAAACTCTTTCCTGAGAAGAATCCCGTCCTTCCGTATAGCCGCTGAAGGTCTGGAAACCGAGAGTCTTGTTCACTACAGAAACCTTCAGCAAACTCAGCTTTCCGATCGCACAGGGCTGGGAAACTTCTGTTGTAAACAGACCCGGTCTTTCGCACTTCGTCTCCCGCTCCTTATATCCTAGCAGCGACTTTACTCCAACTCAAGAACTGCCAAGACGGAAGACAGTCAAGTTGGCACCGTTACTTGGGCGTGTATCCACCTGGCCCTGTGTCTTTAAGGAACTGGGCTATTTAAGACTCATTGAGCCAAAAGTAGCGCCTAGCCTGACGAGACTGTAGGAAGGAATAACCGATCTCAGTAGTGTTGTCCTGACGTCACTTGGAACAGTCCATTGTTGTAACGGGGGTTATAGGGTCTAAGTGTTTATCATAGATTTTACGTAAACCAGCTCTAGCTGGCTGATTTTACAGGTTTCCTACCTTTCTCTGCACCTTTGTGTGATACAAATTAGATATTACGTAGCCAAAGAAGGAACAAGAAAGACAAGGAGAAGTCGTAGACATCGTCCCTCCATGAAATAGCTTGTTATTTTGTAATCTTTTGGGGTATTTTAATAGAGATATTATGAGTCAAACTTTGTTTTTATCAGCAGAATGATAGATGTCTATAGATGTCTATCCTTCAAGAATTTTGTTGTGGCACTTCGTATTGGAAGGGGTTGCCCAAGCTGTCATGTGCAGGCGTTTAGTGTCTTGTTACCATGGTTTGTTTGAGGTCAATGACCTCTCAAGCACAACATATTAACAAACCACAGATGACCCAGTTCCCTGCTGAATGACCGATTAAAGATAAGATATATTTCCTGCAGAGGCGGTCTAGAGGTAAAAATAGATTGGCCTGACCTGCCAGCTGGAGGTATAAACAAAAACACTCTGTACCAATTTGGGGTCAAACAGACCATCCTATTATGAAATAGGGGTGAAAATGTGAAAATCCTTTTAAATAAGCAATGCAAATCTACGACAACCTGCTAATGCACGCTAAAACGCAAAGACAATCAGCGTCTACCCACATACCAAAAATGATCACCAACCATCCACCGGGTTCTGAGATCATTCAACGCAAACAATCTGACATTGAGATAGCAATTCCGGTTCAAAGCAAACAGCTAGGGGGCCCAAATTTACATCACTAAACCATTGTAACCACAACTACATGCTACCTTAGCATCGCACACACGGACCATAACGTGCCAACAATAGAATAAAAAAATTAAACTGCAGTACCAAGGTCAATCACCAGGTGCTCAAAGTCAACCTACACAATCTCCAAGGCCCCATCCATCAATCTGCCAAATATCATACAGTTCCTTCTCACCGATCTTCAGATATCAGACCAAACATGAAACGGAGTAAAAACAATACCCCCCATTTACATGGAGGGTAAAAAGGACGGGTTTAAGAAAGTTATGTGGCACCCGAGTTGGCATTATGCATTGTGCACTACAATGCCTCGCAAGGGGGAAGACAACAACGGTGGCCGAACACACATGTATTTAGAGTGTTTCGGCGGAGAAATCCCATAGCTGTAGGTAGATGTGCCAGAAAGAAAGGACGAGCATTTTAACGTTAAAGAAGAGAAAGAAATGCTGCTTAAACCCTTTGATATACACGCTATATATATTTAACAACCATCTGTGATATACACGCTATATAAGGTTAACAATCATGTAAGATATACACGCTATATGTGTTTAACAATATGCACGTCTCACACTAACCACAGCCAATATCCCGGCACATCGTGCTGAGGTCATTCACCTCGTTAACACGGATTACGTCATCGCGCGCGCTATGAATCATGGGAGACCTACCGAAACTTAAGATCTGTCGAGGTGACGCAGGTTGAAGGGCATGCGCACAAGTTGCTGGGTGAGCGATCTCAAAATTAAAATGAGCTAAAGAACTTTAAAACAGTTTCTTGGGTGGGATTTTTGTTAAATTCTTGGCATTTTTGTGATGGACTGTACAGTGTTGGGTTTTGAATGAATGTTTTTGCAAAAAAAATGAAGTTTTTTCATGAAGTTGCCTTGTTATAAGCTTGTCTGTTGCCATACACCCCTCCTGCCTAGTGCATTGGTATCGACCTAGAATATGGGATCAAAGTGCACGGATTGTTATAAGCAATGCTGTACCTCGAGACTACCCGTCCACTTTTTTCCGAAACTTGTTTTAGGTACATATTATCAAATTGGCCAACACGTGAAGGTGAGTTTGTGTGACAAATACTAGAGATATTCATGATGCCCATTTTCATGTCTAATCTACCATATGTTTCAATGGAGAACCCTTTCAATGGTGTCTCCCCTGTCTTCTCACCTGCGGGCGCAATGGACATGCTCGTTCTTTAAGACGCCGTAGGACCACACCTGTGCGTATTGAGACATCAAAACCAACACATTTCGGTAACTGAGAAGTTTGAGAACCTTTCAGACATCTTAAATACCAGGAAAAGGTCGTCAAGCTCTCCGAAGACACGTCTGAAAGAGTTCAGGTAAACCCGGAAGTTACAGGTGTGTATAGAGGTGCCCTTGACAAGAGTAGGGTATGGAGTACAAACACATAGAAATGTCAGCATATTTCTCCAGCATACAGATAGACTGTTCATATTGAATAGATTAGTAAGTATCGACGCTATGTTTCGATGGCTTTGATGGTATTTAAAATCATGATATTTTCGCTCCTTCGAAACGTTTAAACCTGTAAATAAGGCATGTCCTGGTGAAGTTTTCACGCAATGGTTGTAGATAAATATGCAATAGTAAGGTGGTTCCATTGCTTTTAACATGAAGGTTCGTAACGCCCGTATGTGTTTCTGTGATACAGAAAATGAATCTAGTTGACCTTAGAGCAGCAAGTGTCACCAGACAGGTGCTGTATGTTGCACGGTCAGATATGGATAGAAGAGAGGTAAGTAAGACGTCTTCTTATGATATTAGGAATATATATATATATATATAT